GGAGGGGGAAGAGGAGGAAGGAGRAAGGTTCGTGAGACAATAAATGGATGAAAGACTAGAAGGTCATGGCGTGACATTTACCTTCTCTTTCTGCTGACCCAAGGCTTCCCTTTGGGATCAAGAGGGGCTCTGTGGACCATCGAGGGGCTATTTTCAGAGCAGGAGACCCTGCCCTCAAGTGGGCAATGCTAACTAACATGGGCAACTAATGCAAGGAGTCAGATTTTCTTTGGCAAATATTGCTCATTTCCCCCTTTGTTTTTTTACTTTTTTTTTTCAGTTCCATGTGTATGCTTTTTTTTTTTTTCCTTTAACCACAGATAAAATTAGCCGAGTTTGAGTTCTGCTTTGCCTTTTGCAGCCTAATTTGCAGTGGAAGCRTTGTCATGACTCCCCTCCCGCGAAGACGGCGGCCGGCAGCGCAGCGTGACTAAGCCGGCGCCTTATCTCTGCGTTCCCCTCCAAGCTCCAGCACCGACTGCAGCCTAAGGGCTGGATGTTTCCTCTTCATTTCCCAGCCCTACTCTCCACAACTTCTACTGTTTTCACCCTGTAAACAGCTAATTTGACTCCCAAACAGGCGTGGTGCAACTGCCCATGGTCCTGCTGGTGGTGCATGCTGCAGGTGGCAGTCCCATGCTACGGGGACACTGCTGCAAGCCCCAGAGCAGCCTTGGAGACACAGCTTTCAATGTACCTCGATGTACCTTCAATGCTATTTAGGGATGAGGTTGCAATTACCAGCAAATGGGGAAAAAAAARGGAATTATCTGGCACCTCCTAACCCCTCCACGATGGGCTGTGCAGTGCAGCCCCCAGCATCGTGTCACTGGAGCAGTCTACTGCAGTCATGCAATACTCTGTCAGCATCGCAGCAGGGCCATTTGTCAAACAGGCAATTTTCTGCAAAAACAGCATGAGATGTGAAGAGGAAAGTAAAGAAAGGGGCCAATTTAAGCCTCCGGAGCTCAGCACCTTGAAGTATTKGGCCCTTCGGAAGCAATATCCCAGCCCTTATCCCTGCTCTCCTTCTCTCTTAATGATCCATTTGACTACAGTTTGCAGAAGCAGGCTCTGTAATGTAATTAATCTTTGGCTATGAAGTACCTGCAGTGAGGCTGAGAAAAATGCGCCTCTAGGAAGTGCTTTGTCTTATAATATGCTGCTCTCTTAATATGTAGTCTAATAAGAGTGTAAAGGGGAAAACCATTTGGAAGGGTATGTTATTCCTCAGCACTTCGTATTGGAATTCATGTCACTGTAGAAGTTATTATTGTAATAAAAAGTAAAAATGAGCTCTCAAAATACGCTATAGCATATTATTCAGGACAGCCTGTAAGCACGGCCTTAATGCTAAGCACATGCATGGGTCCCTCTGAAGTTAAACCAAAAGCTTCTGCTCCCGATAGGGATGAATTGAAGCTAGCTCTTTTCCAGACTCAGGACTGACCCTCCTGATAATATAAACGGACAGGCACAAACTTCTGCGGGAAAAAAAAAAAAAGTACTAATCATATTAAATCAATGGTAAATTCCCCTTCACCATCCTGCAGCCCAGACCTCATTATTAGCTGAGGACAGGGTACATTTTTGAATTTGTTTTCAGAAACATTTCTTTGCTGGTGCTTGCAGAGTGCCTGTTGCCACAGGAGTTAAACCCCACCTGAGATTTGATTTGAGGTTGATTTGCCTTCCCCCCTGGTATCCTAAGGATGCTCCACACCTCCCAGCTCTGATGGTGGGAGACTTTCCTCTGGCACTTGCCATCACTCTCATGTTCTCCCGTGTTTTTTATCTTTTTGTGTTATTTGGGGTGTCCTCCTGCAGCACTTTCATTCCCTTGCTTTTCCTGGGCTGAGCAAAACCAATTCCTTCTGGTTTCCTCTTAGAGGAGGAGTCTTAAGGCCAACCAACAGACCTTTTCTGAACCTGTTCTGCTTCCAGTTACTTTTGCTTGAACTCCGTCACCACAACTGCCCAATTTTCCAAGTATGTCTTTATCTAGACTTTGCCCAAGGACAGGAATAGCCCCTTATCTCCTTTGGTGATTGAGTGGACATATGAGGAACTGCCTGTGCTCTGTTCATCAGAGCATAGTGTTCATCAGAGCATCAAGTTGCAGTGTCATAACTGTGTCATAAAAGTCTAATGCTCCATTTCCCCCTCCCTGGTTTCCAGCTGATGAAATTGGATGTTCTTGACCTGTGTCTGTGATTTTTTTTTGACCCTTTACCTGTTTCTGCATGGCTTGCAGGCATTTCTTTGCCCCATCACACAGGAAGACGTGCTCTGTCCACAACCTTTCTCAGTTATTCTCTGATGAAAAGGGGTGAAACAAGACAAAACAAGACCAAAAACAGAAGGAACTTAAAGTGGATCATTAAATTACCTGACTCTTTAAGGTGAAAAGAAAGAGAACAAAGCATGTGCTCGAAGAAAGGACCCTCCGAAGTGCTGAAACTGTAGCTCCCTGAAAGCCTAGACCTACTCATTCAGAAAATGTACAAAGGAAAATAATAATTTGTGCAAAACATTTTTAAAAACCCTCTGCGTGGCATTTTTCTTAAAAAAAAAAACCAAAACACAGATCTTTCATCTGGTTTTATTTCCATTGTCTTGAATTCAGAGCTAAAGAATGTATTTCTTTGGTGAGACTTCACAGCATGGATGTTTTGTGAAGGACATGTCCTGGCAGGCAGTGGTAAAAAAAAAGTCATTACCAAAGACTTTTAAATGCTGCAATTAAACAGGAAAACAAAGTAGAAGTGGCAAAATGTGTAGAAGTGGATCTTCTCCAACAGGTGGCTTCAAACCACTGCTGACCCTTGTCTGTATATCTTGGGAAGTTTTGCAAGATCACTGCCTTGTGAAATTCATAACCCTTCCTGGGCTTATCAGGAAATATGGTGTGTGAAAAAACCTCACTATTGACAATTAATGTGATGCAAAGATGCATTTCTCATCCTTTACATCCCTTTGAGATAGTTGCTCATTACACGAATGTATTCAGGCAAATGTCAAGAGCGAGGTAGCCTTCCTTCCTCCCGTGTAATTTGCCGGGATACTTAAAGGAATTTTAGGAAAGCAGACGAGTGCTGAGAATCCTACTGACGGAGGCAGCGAGCTGCCAAGTTATTATTACAGCATTTTGTTATTATTTAATAGGAAGCATCCCAGACATCTTAACAAACAGGAGTCCCTTGCGGCTATTTTGCACAGTATTGCTTGGATCCTGTGACTCAGCACTTCATTGACCAGGGAGCGGGAGCAAAAATAGGATGTGAAGAAGCAGCAACCGCAGCAGATCGCAGGCGGCTGGCCAGGCTGGGGTGTCCTGCAGCAGGACCACGGGACCTTTGGCCCCTCCACACTGTCCCGCCCCAGCAAGGACGCGTCTGTCCCAAAAGGAGATGCTGTCCAGCACTCGCTGGGCAAGATAATGTAGCTAAAGGGAGATTCAGGCACACTCGTGTGATTCCTAACCTCCTCATGGTGGCCATATGAGGGATGAAAACTGGTTTCACACCAGCATTTGCTGACAGCCAAATATAATGAAAAACATTTTTATGAAACAATGTAGACCACATACTAATTGGCATTTTATGTAACCACCCTGAAGATCATAAGATTTCAATTTAGCATGGCTAATCACAGCATCGATCGTGGTCCCCTGGAGCCGGGTGTTGCTGCGAGGCTGCACGCAGCTCTGCACCACGTCCACGGAGGCCGGTCCTTGCTCTCCAACGTCAAATGAACRCAGGACACAGGTAGTCGGGCAATGACCTGGGTACAGAAGCTGCACATGCTGCTGGTGACCGGCCACGGCTCCTGGGCTGGGCAAGCAAAAAATGTGCTTCGTTTCCACTGCACTTCAACTTTGAGAAGCAACTTGAGTCATTTCTTGCTAACATATCGTTTTGGCTGATTTTTTCAAGACGGAATCAGGGGCCTGGACTAGGAAAGAATCAAAGATTTTGTTCCCGCTTGGGGATCTGCAGGCCCTCCTGTTTTCACCAAACACCAAGCAGCTTTTGCAGTTACGTGAGAGCTTTCTCCATCATGTTTGGTGTCCAGAGGTCTTGGGGACAGATAAAACTAAGCGTAGAAAATTTTCCCCTAGTTTCCCTTGCACTGATAGGTGATTTTGCCGTGCTCTCACTTGCTCCAAGCGTTGCATCCTCCTTGGATAAAGGAACAGCGACAGTATTGTGCACTTCCTGAACCCCTAAACTACCTGAGCTGGATTTGATCCCTCCCCTCCTGTCCCAGCCCAACTCAGGATACTCCAGAATAAAAATATAAATAGTAAGCAATGAAACCACTGAAAAAACCAGCACCGCTGCAGCCACGTGCAGAGCCGTGCTTTGCCAGGCTGATGCTCACTTGCTGGTCAGGAACGCGGGTGGCCACGAGCACCATCAAGAAAGTAGGTCCAAGGTAAGCAAAGGGAAAAACAAGCCCGCTGCATCCCCCCCGTGTTGTTGTTTTCTGGCGGGAGCTGGAACGGGAAGTTTGCTGCCGGATGCGCCGCTGACCTCCACTTGCTGTGGTCACGTTAACACTTCGCTCGCCTCTTCTCCCACAATAAACCTGGCGCTTCCTCCCATGCGTGCCGGCCGGGCAAGCCTGGCATGGAGGAAGAGCGCGGTGCATCCTTCACAAGGGCTTGTCCGTGCTGTCCTGTGGTGGCCAGGGCTGGAGGAGCCCCTGAGGCAGCTCAATCCAGGAGCACGGCTGGGACRAGCAGCTGGTGCTCGTGAGCTGAGCAGCGCAGCACCCACAGGTGCTGCAGCAGCATGGGAGGCCTTAAAAGGGCCTGTGGAAGGGTAATAGAGYCTTGGTATCTGGGAGGAAGAGGGGGAAGATGAAGGGAAAGAGGAAAAACTAGAATAAATTAAGGCTGGAGCTGTTGGCTGATGCTGTGACAAGGCTTAAGGAGGAAGCAAGTGGCTTTTCAGATGTCAGAGGAGACATGGGGCAGCAGTGAAGGATGGAGCATGCAAGACCAATAAGGCCCATCAAAGACCTGCAGGGAAAGAAATACAGCAAACAGAGGTGGGGTGATATCTCCTGATAGCCCAAGGGCCCTGGGGTCGGGGATGTAAATCTGCTTCCTGCCACCAGTGAGAAGGGGGGTTTGGGCCACCAGGGCTGGGGGCAGCCTGTCCAAATTCGTGCAAAAGTTGGTGAAGTTGCAAAAACTCATCATTCTCCTATGGACATATCAGAAAATACATCTGGGAATGCATCGTGTTGTGACAGGTGGGCACTAAGGTTATCCTGGGGGAGCTTCCTTGATCCAGGAGCTGTGGCATCTGTACACTGGCTGGCCCAATGAGCCTCTCTGGTTGAACCCTTTCAGATAGCTCTGTGGTTTGGACCTATTTGCGTCCAAAAATGRTGCATGAGGTTATCCTTGCTTTATAGGAGGAGAGGAAAGGAAAAAAAGGAGTGAAAAATAGATTTTTTTTAATGAACAAAATTAGAATTCTTTTCCTTGGAGGGCAGGACCGCAGCTCCATCCATGCATTTCAGCCACTATGAAATTAGATATACGCTGCCATAGGGCTGGGCAATGTGCTGCTGGGGACACCTGCCTCTTCTGTGGCCACAGCGGGGCCCAGTGCAGTCCCTCGAGGCTCGTTCAGCTCCCACTGTCTTGTTTTAGTTGTGTTTCCTGGCGGGGGGGAGGAGAGGGAGGTCTGCAACAATGGTTCAAAAACAGGCTCTGGAAAGAGCGACTCACTTGCTGAGCCATTGAGGATGTTGTTTATATGCGAGATCCTGTTTTCTTCCTTGAGCACAGCGCTTCTCCTCCCAGGTGCATCTCCCACGGCTTTCGCTGCCACGCCAGCGTGCGCAGGATCTTCCGGAGGCCGTGGGGAGCGACACGAGGGCCAGCGGGGCACCAAGCGGAGGCTGTYGCCCTCCTGGCCCCTGTTCGTTGCCCTTGGCTGGTTTGTGCCACTGGGTGCATTAACCCAAGCGCTTCCACTGCTGCAGCCCTGGGGCAACMTCACGGCGTGGCCGAAATTCCATTGCAATCAATGAGGTCCTCTCAAGGGTGGTGAACTCAAGACCTGAGTTAAGCGTGCTGCTTGCTGCTGGTTGACCTGGGGTGTTTTGGTGCGTGCACTTGTGTAGCGCTGGGGCAGGACATTGCTCATCCTCAGCAGGGGAATGAAGGCCAGCAGTGATGAAGGAGCAGGAGGGCTTGAGGTGGCCTCCTCAGCATCCTGAGAGGCTCTAYGTGGTGGGGTGGTTGGGGATGGCAGTCACCACCATGAGAGCCTTCCCGTGACCAGGGAGTTGGAGATGCTGGGACACTAGCAGGGGTGTCCAGGGAAGAATTAACCCCTCTTCAGTGAAGGCAGATGGGAACAGAGACCAAWGTTGGGCAGCTGCCAACAGGAGAACGTTTGAACCAGGCGAGAAACCTCATTTAAACAAATAAATAAACACTCCAACATCCTCTGGGTGCAGGTTTATGATAATAAAAACAGAGCACACAGCTCGCAGGAGGAAAATACATCGTGTATTTTCACATCTCCCATTTCCTCCTAGACCGTCGCAAGAATTTCCTCCAAGCCCATCGCTTCCTTCTGACATTTTGGAGCCCAGAAATGCCTATCGGAGCCCAGTGCCCTGGAGACGCAGGAGAAGGAGGCTTTGAAGGATCCCGCTCGCTCAGGGCTTTGTGCCTGGTTTCAACCACTGTGAAGCTGCGTTGTACAAGGAGGTAAGCTGAGGCATGTACCAAGCGAGCGCCTTGTCCCTTCACTTAATAAGGTCCATTACAGAATCCGAGAGGAAGCTTTGGGTGTTATTGCCGTGCTAGGGTGCTCAAAGCTGTCAAAAAGCAGGGGCGAAGGTGTCCTTGCCTCCCGTTTGCTCCCATCACAGCTAACCCTGGAGCTCTGCTCAAGCTGGACAAACATCCCTGGTTTCTGAGMAATGGGCTAACACCAGCATCTTCCCAGGGTCTCAGAGCCGCTTACACTCTAGCGACGTTTAGCTATTCACATTCTATCCAAAAACTTGCCTTTAATTTAAAATCCCAGCTGTTGCAAAAAGGGGGGAAAAAAGAGGAAAAAGTCGCAAGCTAGTGACAGAATCCTGTGGGGAATTCGTCATAACCCTGGTGGATGCCCTCACCGAGCCAGGGCAGCGTTTTTTCCCCGGGAGCTCTTAATTCAGGCCCCTTTGCCCTAAAGTGATGACCCGCAGCCTTCACCTCGGGGCTGTGTCCCAAGGGGCAGGGTCATTCATGCAGCCCCAGGCTGGGCTTGGGAGAAACCAGCACTTGTAGCCAGGGAAAAAACCCACTGTCACCTTGGGAAGCGCATGCTTCCCATTTTTTGGCTCTCAGAGGTGTCAAAGGAAGCAATCTGACGTCGAAGGGCCGGAAAAAAACAGCTTCTTGGCTGATGTTGCTCATGAACAGCGAGGTCACTTAGAAAGCTATCAGTGGCTTAAAAATAAATCCCGCATGGAGGTTGCCATTCAGCAATATCCTGTATCCGAAAGCTGCCGGGGGTATAAGCAGGAAGAAACTGGAATGACCTTCCCTCCTCCCGCCCCTATTCCCAACATTTTTTTTTTTTCATGTTCCTGGTAGTAAATCATTGAAATTTCTGCATTCAAGTGACTACTTTAAAAATAGAGCCTGCTCAAAGGCTCTGCGTGTGCCTGCTCTGTGCCGAGGCATGGGGCTGTGTGCCCGTGTTGTGCCCAGGTGGTGCTTGCTGGTGGGTCAGGCAGGGACGGGGAAGGTTGCTATATCCAGCTTCTTCAGCCAAGGTGATGGYGATGATGGTTGCCCAAGGGAGGTAGTTATGCACAGCAAGCTTAGGAACACACACATGAAAGGAAAAACTCCTCTATGTAATTATTTTTCTGCTGTTTTCTATGTTTTTTTCTACCAATTCTTTCATATCGTTAGGAAGTTGTCCCAAACATCAAGTTTTTTGACACCCCTGTTCCTGAGACCAGTATTTCCCAACTGTGCACCACTCATTTGCAGGACCCAAGCCCCTAGCAGAGCAGCAGCCGGAGGAGGGCAGTGCTCATGCTCCCTTTAGATGGGTTATCCAGGTTTATCCAGGCAGGATGGAGAGCAGAAGGGTTTCTGCAGGATTTTACATATATTGCACAACAAGAGTGATGATAAGGATCACCGGGGCAAAATCGGTACACAAATAATCAGTTAATAAACTGGCTTGAATTTTCTCCTGAGAAACTTCCGAACACAGGAAAAGATTGACACCCAAACAGAGAAAGAAAGAGGAAGAAGATTGATGTCTCCTAGCTGGAAGGATCAAAACCCTCCGCGTGTTAACGTGCAGCRGGGCCTGCAACCCCCTTTTGATGTCTGCAGGAAGGAAAGAAGATGCTGAGAACTTTCGCAGCTCGGTGGAAGCCAGCCCGCACTTCCACGTCCAGGGTCAAGAGGTGGTGGAAAGAAAAATAAAGCCCAAGTGGGAAATAAGAAGTTAAAAGGAGCTCTTTCCTCCTCGGAGGCGGGTGGGCATGGGCTGGGACGTGCAGGGAGAGTGGTGGATGCCATGGGCTGCGGATGCCCTGCACTGAGTGGATGCTCCAAGCGAACGATTGCAAAAAACTTCCCTTAAAAACCAGCCCCAGCTGCTCCAGGAGCTTGTCCAGCTCCAGGGCAGCGCCTGCATGAGCCAGGCTTGCTCCATGCTGGTAGCGAAAGCATCAGGGTGAATCTCTGCCCTTCCAGCCAACACCGTGGGAGCTCATCCAGGAGTTTGGAAAGATATAGAAAACTAAAGGGGACGGGTTCCTCCTSCTCCTTCCATCCCTCTCACTGGCCAGGTCCCCTCGAACGCCAGTCCATGCTCTGGGGCACACCACTCACATTCAAGGGGACCCTAAATTTAGATATGCCAGCTGTGAGCACTATGCAAGATATTTAAGGGCCTATAATTTTAGACTAAGCATAATTGTGGGATGTATTTAATCGTGTTATATCTGGGACTGAGCAATGCCAAATATTTTCCACAGTTATTCACGTAGATCAGTGAATTAGCACAAGCTACGAGCATCCCTTTGCGGAGGTCATCGCTCAAGGGAGAAAAGGTGAACCTGAGTTTTCATTTTTGACAGTTCATGTTTGCAAGGAAAGTCCTTGCGCACTTATCAAATCGGGGCACGGAGAAGTCGCTGGGTTGCATGGGATGGATCTCGTGACTGAGGCTGGCGCAGACTCCATACATCATCAAAGTAAACAAAAATAAATCAATCAATAAAGGGGATTCATCAAACAAGCCGAGAAATGTTTGGAATTTTTTATCTGCTCGTAGATTTTCCACAAGCAGAAAACGGGCTGTTGGGCCAGGTCAGTGACTGGGTAAGTCGGCAGAGCTCCCTTGAAGTCAAAGTGCTAATTTATAACAGCTGGGGAAAGCTGGCTTGGAAGTCCCCGTGAGTCACCCGCATCGTTCTGCTTATAGAGCTGCGCTATTCCCCCTCYATGCCTATGAGCAACAAGCACGTGGTTGTGTGTAGGGGCAGATGACCATCCTTGGAGGCGAGAAGCATCTCGAAAAAATCATCAGAAAACCCTCTGACCAGCAGCTGTGAGGAACTGTAGTTGTTTTCAACCAGGAGAGTCATTTCTGCTGAACCCTGCTGGCACCTTCTCTTGGAAGGAAGATACAGGCAAGACTCTTCCTCTGCAGAGGTGAATACCATGGTTATTCCTCTTTCTGCTTTTTTTTTCTGGACAGCTTGGCCAGCACGCTAGAATTTCACAGCACAGCTCCATCCAGGCCACCTGGATATGGCAGAATGACACCTCCTGTGAAGATTCATGAGCTGGAGTCCTGCACCAGTGTGGGTTTGCTGGATGGTGCTGGTTGGAGGAAGCTACAATGAAGCAAGAGTGAGGTTGTGCCCGGCCATCATCCATGAATGCAAACTGCTCCTCCAAAAACTCCTCAAACCGGAGTCTTGTGATGGGTCCTTGGTGCAATGGATTCCGCGACCTCTCAAACCATCAGCTGCCTTCTGCATGCTTTTGAGGACTTTTTTCAACACCTCCAAGCATTTTCTTACACCAAGAGGTCCAAGTGAAGCGTTTCAGGCCCTCACTCCTGCAATTCTCCTTTTCCATGTTTCAAGYTTTAATTCATCTGCCAGAGATACCAGGTTGCAAAACACGGAGCACCTTTATTTTTATAGACTGCTCCAGGATTGTTCCAAATCAAGGCTGTTGCTCTCACTTACCAACCTTTCCAGACAGTGTTTTAAGTTATGTCATTTTTAATAAGTCGCAGCCAAAACGCTGACTAGATCAGTTTTGTTTTGCTGGCCCCATATCCGTGAAGTCGCCACCTTTAAACGCTTGCAAGTTCTTTTAGAGCTGATTGCCTGTGTTTTCTTAAGGAATTCCTTCGTGCCAGGTTGAATTATTCCAGACAATGGAAAAAACACTCAGCATATTCCATTGTATCCTGCTCGGATTACCTGGCACGCGCGTCGGAGGCAGGGAGGCTTTACAAGCTGCACCTACAACATGTGTTCAGATATACTGCAGCRACTAGAGGGGGAAAAAAAAGGCAAAAACAAAAAGAAAACCCAGGTTTTGACCATAATAGGAAAGACTGAGGCTATACCTGTGGCTCAATTTAGGAGAAATTTCGCATTGTAGAAAGGTGGGATGCCTGGAAGAGCATTTGGCGAAGCTGGTGCAGAAGCCTTCCATATAAGACTCCCTTACTGCTCTTGATACTTTTTGTAGTCTTTTTATGGGAAAGGGAAGTCTGGAGATAATGGGAACATTGTTTTTTTTCTTGGTAAGGATGCTGACGGGATGCTCTGGCTTGATGGCGTTATGTCAAACCCAGAACCTTTGGTGCTGCCCGGGCACTGGCTGCTCCGCGCTTGCTGCTCGAAGCCAGCCTGTCCCTACACAGGACACATCATCCATCATGATGGCAAGGGTCTTCTTCTCCTCCAAGTGTTCCTAGAGTTTAATGCTAGCTAGGCCAGATGCAAAGTCCACTGCAAGGCATTAGCTCCCAAATTACCAAGCCCCTGCTTGCCTCCCCCTTCTTTTTATCTTCTAGTGTTTCATGAGGGAGAAGAGGAGGAGGGAGGAGAGGATCGTTTTGAAGGATGACGAGGTAGCAGCTCATACCACAGCCAGCTTTTTGTCAAACACTCAGCACCCATTCTCCCTTTTTCCCCATGCATCTGGAGGTTCATGTTACCTTCCTACTTGGTGGGACTGTAAGGAACTATGCATGTCCTCTGAGCAGGTCCCAGTTTTCCAGCACAAGTTCTCAAGCAAGAGCCAGAACTCCAGCTGTTTCCACAAGGGGGATTTATTTTGTGTGTTGCTTTGTTTCCTTTTGCTTGGAAAGTGCATAACGGCCACCACGAAGGGCTGTTCAGAAAGCCTCGGAGGCGGCCACGGCCACGGGGATGCTGCCACCGTGCGGCCCTGGCCACTGTGTCAACCCTCATGAGCCAGATCAAGTGTCCCTGACCCAAAAAGGCAGCGGGAAGGGCACAGTGTCCCGAAACGCAGAACCCCACTGGGGATGCTCTGCATCCTGGGGGCTCTCCCTGTGTGGGACAGGGCACAGGGTGGCTGTGAAGCTGCTCCTGCCCGGCTCTTTCTGCCTGATAAGGTCCCCTTGATGACCCCTCAAGCCATGGGAAGMACCTTCTAGCATCTCATCAAAAAGAAAAGAAAACATCCTAGCACA